TTCACTCTGCCTAAAACTTACCCCGTTTCAAGTTTCCAAAAATTGTTTTTTTTTATTAAAACAGTAACCGTGGAGTAGAATAACAAAGATAAATTTACAATCTTGTTTAATAGTATTTACTTAGTACTTAATGGTCAATAAAAATCCTATCATGATTTATACTGCTGCTTGTTAATTTCTAAATTGGTTTGTGATAGGTTTTACATACGTGCTAATTCATCGAGGATAAGATTACATTTTGCCTCGAACTTCTTATCGAAGCTACTTCAGAACAATATAATTTGGAATAGATTCACATTTGCCTTCCGATAGGTCAGTGTATTTAACCCCTCAATGACTAGTCAGTTGATTTGTTTATTACTTTTGTTTTATTTATGAGACATTATCAGAAAAGAACCTTGTAAGTTTGAGGTAACATGCTCCAAATTGGTCAGGGACTCGTGAAAGTGCACGCCTTTTGACTTATGATTGAGAAACAAAAATAAGAAATCAGTCAAAATGATCAACTGTTTCTGATTTTACGTTATCTATGAAGTTTTACTACCGTAGTTTTCTTACTTATTTTAGGAGGAAAAGCATTCTGAAAGCATTGCATTAGCAATTGCTGTGTCCTACCGGCAAGTGTAATATGCTCCCTATCTAAAATGCCACAATACTGTTAAAAATTACTGAGAAAGTGCAACCTTGATCTATAACTCATCAAAATAAACGTACATATACAAAAAAATCAGCTCAATATCTGCTTGCGTTTCGGAAAAAAGTTGCGGAAGCACTTAAAAAAAAAATAAAGGGGGGGGGGGGGCGAAATGCAAACTTAATCTCTAGTTCATACAGTTACACTCACATACCAAAAAACCCCAACACAATATCTACAGGTTTTCAAATTAATTGATTGTATTTTATTTAACGTCCCTCTCGAGAGCTGAAATTAATTTTGTCTTATACTCGGCACTTACGGCCATTGAGCAGTGAGGGATATTTTTCGTGCCAGAATCTACTGCGACAATACCTCACTTTATACGGTCTCATCCAAAGGACCAGTCTTCTTCACGTCCCACAGTGGGATTCGAATCCGCGACGTAGGGATCAGCTCCTATCTTCGCGAATATAGAGCAGACGCCCAAACATTACGCCACGCGTGCAAATAGTGAGGAAAACCAAGACTGAGAAACAGACAGAGGGACAGCTAGGAAGACGGGGAGGAAACCTATAGTCCCCTCCGTTTTCACCGGCAGAGGACTAAAGATATGAACCATGTTTTGGGTTACAATCAAAATCAAAGACATCCCAAATATTGAAAAAAATATAATGCAATTCCTTGTAGCAGGGGACATATAAACAAAGCAAAATAACTAGAACTATAAAGGTTTAAAGGAAAGTGGTTTTGAAGAACACATTGGAGAATACATCCTACTCACACTCCTGATCTCCTACACGATACCTCTAAATGTTCTGGCCCCTGAGGTGTTGTCCTTGCTTTTATTCTCCATAGCCCACAAAGTAAGGGAGTAAGCGTCTCATATATGATTGATTGTATACTGTTTAACGTCCCTCTCCAGAATATTTCACTGATATGGAGACGTCACCATTGCCGGTGAAGGGCTGCAAATTTTATTCGGCACTTACGGCCTTTGAGCCATGCCACACCTGCTGTGCCCACAAAGCCTTTTACGACAAGCAAGGGGGGAGGACCTATTCTAACCCGGATCCCCACAGGATGTGTCTCATATAAATAAACAGTAAAACAATTTGTCCTTTCTCTGAATTTTAGAATTTAATTCACAAAGTCTAAGATAAACAAGGCAAGGAAAAATGAATCCGGTGCGGATTAGGTCCCAAAGCTACATTGTTAGATTTTAAAAAAGAATTCTCTTCAATTGCAAAAAATTGTCAATTTTTATTCAGAAGCATATTAATTTCCATAAATTTATCATTTTAAGCTTTAGTCACAAGTCTACAATTCATGCCCTTTGTTGGCCTTATCACAAATGGATTTCGCACAACCTTCGTAAATTATTAAATGTTATTGATTAAAATGAAATTAAATTTATATAATACTTGTTAAAATTTGTTCCCATGTCATTTTAAGCGGAGGGGACTATAAGTTTCCTCTGAGTCCGTCCGTCTGTCCCTCTGTCTTTCTTGTAGTCTGCCCCACTTGGTTCTCCATACTTTATTTCAAAACACTTGCAGATATTAAGCTGATATTTAGTATGTGAGTGTATATTGATGGGTTACTGGTCAAGTTTGCATTTTGTTCCACTTTAATGATTTTGATGGTTTTACGATCTTTTTAATTTATTAATGTTTCCTGCATTCTTTCCAAAAAAGCTTGCAGATATTGAGCTATTTTTGGGAAGGTAACTTTACCTTTATGACCTTACCTTTACCTTAGTTCTCTCCGTGCCAGGAGGCACACAAGGCCTGAACATCTTTTTTCCACTAGGACCGGTATGAGGCTACATGGCGTGCCGTGTTCCAGGAGTTCCAGCCTGCTCTGTTTCGCTCCACCTCCACCATCCGCAGCAATGTTATCTTGGGGCGGCTTCGCTTCCTTAACCCGTTAGGGGTCCTTCTGAAAGCCACAACACAGTAATCCGTGCGATCCTTCCTAAGCACATGGCCGATCCAAGTCCATCTCCTCCTTCTCACCTAGCCTCTGATTGTTTCTGCTTCTCCCATCTACAGACCTGTCTTGTTAGGGATATGCTGCTGCCATCTGAACTTAAGAATCCTTCTGAGGAACTTGTTCTGAAAGATGTCAATTTTCTTTTCCTCTGTCTTCGTAAGCTTCAAGTTTCACATGCGCATAACAATGCAGAGAGGACCAGGCTCTTAAAGAAGGAGACTTTTATGTTTCTACCGATGTCTGTAGTATTCTAGATGTTGGCTAGCCTCCTGAAGGATGCACCGGCCAGTGCTATCCTCTCCCTGATGTCAGCAGTTCCTCCTCCATCCTTGGTGACATTGGAGCCGAGGTAAGTGAAGCTGTCCACCCCATCGGCTTCGCTGTTTCCTATTGTCAGCTTATTTCACTCTTGCTATTTAAGACGGCTGTTCAATAAATGTCCTGAACTGTATGACATATATAACAGATATCATATGACATTAATCTTGACTTTCTCTCATTGAATCTTTAATGAATTCATAACAGTTTATGTTACCACTTTTCATCACATAGTTTCATTGTGAGAAGCTGCAAAACAAGGGCTATTCGAGACACTGCATTAAAAATGAATGGTAGAGAATCAGTAAACTAGAGTGAAATTAAACGCTTCATTAAAGCTGCTGCAAAACTTGTTAAGAATATCAAAGAAATATGCACTGAAATATGTAAAATTTACGGCAACCAATGTCTGTTTTATAGACAAATAAGCAGGTGGATTTCAATGATAATCAATTATATAATGGGCGTCAAAAATGGGCACCGTCCTTGCCAACAAAGAATTATAACTACTAATGTACTGTTTGCCAAAATTCAACAAATAATCACTAATGATGTATGATTGACTTTAAAACACATAGCAAAATTGATAGGCATCATTTTGGGGGTAATTTACAATGTTTTAAAGAAACGTTTGACAGTAAAAAAGCTTAGTACTCAAAGATCACCATATGTTTTGAAAACTGAGTGAAGAGAGCGTGTAAGAATACCTAAACAATTATTTTAATATATTAGTAATTGTAGTTATCCACGTTTGTTTGAAATTCAAACAGATAATGAAACTTGAATATATTGCTTAAAACCCTCAAAACAAAATTTACAATAAGATGTACTTGACAAAACAGCAAAGGTCTAAGAAGAGCAAAGAATTGCAAGAGCACACAGACAGATTTATATGAATTTTTCTTCATTATTAACGATTAGCGGTTTTGTTGTTCAATTTCGTATTTGGGGAGACCGATTAATTTCTGTAGGAGTCTAGAAAGCATTTTTTTTTGCAAAAAATCGAAGAAGGAACCGGAATCATGAATCCACTACATTAAATTTCTTCATGACGGCGTCCAAACCCGCACGTCCTGAAGGGTAAATGATTTTTGGGATAATTAGAAAGTTAAAGTTTTTCACATTAAAAATATTCGCCAGATCTTTCGCCTTTTGACTTGTTTCATTTTCTAAACTTGAAAAAAACACCTTTCAGAAGGAAGAAGCAAGTCCAGGAAATCATAGGATCTGCCATATTCCATTATACTAAGGGTCATACCCAAAAATGAGTTCTAAAAACAATCAGAAATTGGATAAAAAATGTTACGGACATGTGTTTTAAATGAAAGAGAATATTAAGTTAAATCATTAAGACAAAATCTGATAAGCGTCTATTGCTTCTTTCCGAGCACCGAGGACATTATTTATTGAACAGCCCTCGTATCTTCATCACTTTGCACTTCTTGGCATTCAGCTTGAATCCAACTTTTGCGGAGTTTTCTTCCAGTTTTGTTGTCTTTAATTGAAAATGTTCATTGCTGATGACAATAGGGCAATGTCCGCAAAGTCAAGGTCTTCAAGCATAGCGGTGAAGTCCCATCCAATTTCTATTCTCTTTTCTCTGACAGTCTGCTGCCTAACCAAGTTTATCATTAGGAGGAACAAGAAGCCTGACATGCAGCATCCTTGTCTGACACCAGTCATCACAGGAAAGGGGTCTGTTGTCTCTCGTTTTCATCAATCACAGAACACTGAAAATTGTCATACAGGGCTTTGAACATCGTAATCATTTTTCTGGGTATTCCATATTTCTTCATTATGCTCAAAGGCTGTCTCTGTGCACCGAATCGAAAGCTTTCTCCACAAAATGGATGTACAGTGTAGCATTCCACTCATTGACTTGTTCCAGGATGTAAGTCTGGTTGATAGTCCCTCTCCGGAACCCTGCCTCCTGTTTCCTATGGATGCGGTCTACTCCAGTCTGTATTCTGTTGATGATGACCCTGCTGAGTGAGTGCTTTGCTGGCTAGTGGCAGCAATGTACCCCTCAAGTTTCTGCAGTCATGTATGTTACCTCTCTTGGGCACCCTTTCCTCCTTCCATATGTGGTCAAAGGTGTGCTTCAATTCCTGGCAGCTCTTATCAAGATCTGCCTTGAACATTTCTGCAGTTATCTCTCTTCTCCCTCCTCCTGTACATTTTTTGGTGGTAACTCTGGAGTGTCCCTGTTGAGTACTTCCTCTAAATTTTTCCTCCATCTGGGTAGCCTCTCTTCTTTATTTTTCAGCAGCTCTCCATCTTTGCTCCTCAAAGTGCTGGTTGTTTATTACTCTTTCTTCAAGTTTCTTGTCAGCTGTTTTACTATGCTGTACAGTTTCTTATGCCTCCCGTTCTCGGTTGCTTTCTTTGCTTGCTCAGCTTTCTCTGCCAGCCATCTCCTCTTTTCCTCTATCGCACTTTTCATGGCTGCTTTGTCTTTCTCTCTGTAATTTTTCTTCAATCTAGTCTTGACTCTTTCTGATCTTGTGTTCTTTATCTTTGTCTTCATGTCTTTTCTTTCATCTATCAACTTCCGGGTGTTTTTGCTGATCCAAGGTTTACTTTTGCCTTTTCTGTAGCCAAGTACTTCCTTTGCTGAATTTACATATGCCATCTTCTGCTGTTCCCACATTTTCTAGATATCTTTAGTCTTTTCCCTGTGCTCTTCTTATTTCTTTCTCATGTAACCGAGCAGTAAGGCAGATGTTATGTTTTCATCGTTTATTGAGGATATAAAGGCATTGATCTAAAATAAACAAAGTATATAAATTGTGAGAATAACATATAATTTACCTACAGCATATGTTTAAGAAAAAATGAACTCTATGAAAAAAATGTGTACTGTAAACAATTCAAATTAAAATTTTACAGACTCATTCCTATTTCAGTTACAACTTTGAATGCAAAAATACAATAAAGTAAAAAGTTTGCAATCAAAATAATTACGTAAATCAAATTTTTATATGGTAAGGAAATACATAATCAAATATATAAGTTACATACCATAAGATGCGTATGATGGACACTGGATTATAAATATACTTCTTTCTTGAAAACGTATTACTGCTCTGACATACATAGGTAAAGCGCGGTAAATTTATACTTATAATGAAAATGTATTATTGGATGAAAAAATAGGAAATAACCAATCAAATTAAAGAACCAATGAAATCATAGAATAAAACTTTACTCAGGCAACTCAATCCAGATGCGCAATCGAACATTTGGTTAATCAAATTTTAAGATTACATTTCTCAAAACGATATGAAAAAATAAATAAAAACGAATAAATACATATAAAAATAGATTTCATTATATCACACTCACACAGTCATTGAACTTTGATTTTACTTCGTTATTTTAGAAGCGTTCTACATCCAATCTTACTTTCAACTTTTTTTTATTCTTGTGTTTGCTGAGCCGTAGCCGGATTCGGGTCTTCACCAGGTAGTGATCGCTGTTTGCATCTGCTCCCCTCTGAACATTGGTGTCAAGAACAGAAGGTCTCCACTGTCCACTAATGAGAAAATGGTCAATATGGTTTTTCACTGTTTCAGTAGCAGACACTCATGTTGCTTTGTGTATGTCTTTGTGATAAAACAATGTTCCCGTAATCACAAGTCCGTTGGTCTGACTCACCTAGTCTTTCTCCATTCTCCTTCTGTGTTCCCATTCCATGGATACCCATAGTTCTTTCATATCCATTATTGTCACTCTCTACCTTGGCGTTGGGGTCCCCCATGATAATAATGATATCTTTCTTATTACATCCATCCAAGGTCTCTTGTAACTCCTGATAGAATTGGTCTTTCTCCTCCTCTACCGTTTCATTATATGGCGCATATGCTCGGATCACCGACACTCTCCTGTATCTTGAATAGAATCGTGCTGTCATGATTCTCTTACTGACAGGTGTCCATTCCATGAGTGATTTCATTGCCTGCTGGCTGATCATTATGGCAAATCCTCCATCTTTTCTTCATCTCCGCTGTATATTACGGTCTGGCCCGAGGCAAGTTTCATCTTCTTAGCTCCTATCCATCTGCATTTACAGATTCCCAAAATGTCCATTTCGTATCCTTCCATTTTTCTGGCAGTCTGTGCTGAATCTCCTCTTCTATGCATTTTTCTCACATTCCAGTGTCCGATGGTGAATGTGTGTTTGGGTGTCACATGGGATCTAGTCGGACAATGGGCTTTCCTAAGGCTTTTACCCCTCGTCGTCTTACTGCCACTATTGGCGGTCCCCGCTTCACTCGGTCATCTTTGCTGTTTGATGTCCATTGTTTCAATAATTGTGGGGTTTTTTTTCTGTGAGGAGGTAGTCGGCCTCCTGCCCAACCCCTAAGCTTGGAGGACCAGTGGTTTTCTGTCAGGGAGTCCTTCTCTTATGCTGTGTTAGTCAACGGAACCTTCTTCCGTCTATCCGGTGCGCTTTTCGTTTACAGAGGGATCCCCTATCCGCCACCCGGGGGACGCGCCTCCTAGCCGTGCAACTCCAGCCGAAAGTTTACCTTGATGGGTTATAGAGCAATTTTACATTTCGTTCCGCTTCATTAATTTTTTTACGGTCTTATGACATTTTCGAGTTTTAAATCAACGATCCATGACTTTAAACTTGATGGGTAGCTTTACAGTGTCAAACCAGAGATCAAGTTTGATTTTTTAAAAATAAAATTGTTTTTTCAACTTTGTAAAATGATATGTTCTTATCAAAGCATGCATGTATGTTTAATGGCACTCAACCACCTCTTTGTAAGACAGATCGACTGAATTCCAAAACATTTCATTCAGAAATAGTTAACAAACGATATTGTATTGTATTGTTTATTACCAAGAACCATACAGTTCATAGGTTTAACGTATATACATAAATCAGTTGTACAGTATATGTATAACATTTCAATATCGTTTGAACGTTAAGTAAAGCAGGATCATAGAAAAATTTTACAAACTATTCATTCTAAATTCATAAAGCAGAAAAAGCACAATAATATAGTTTAGTAATAGTAGTAGTGAGGATAAAGTCGTAATATCAATTCAATTTACATCTGCTCTTAATTTTGTACATTTATAAAGATATTTTCCCAGTTTACATAACTCTGTTACATTTTTTGTCGACAACAATTGAACAAGTTTAAAGGTAGAGGGTTTTTGGTGATAATATTTCTTAATATACTCTTTTCTAACATTAGAAAAAAATGGACAAACCAGAATAAAATGATACTCGTCTTCAACCTCTGACATTGAACAAAATTTACATAATCTTTCTATTCTAGGATATATCTACATTTTGGGGCACTTTATCATATACAGGTTAATAGGCGTTAAATTAGGTTAAATGACACCCTAGAGATATAAAAGGGGATCTCGGTAGGGGACATGTATTGCTTCTACAATACTCTCATAATGCTTGTTACATTTAATTAAAAATGATTAGTATACAGGCATCAAGGCATACCATGATTGCAAGTTGAGGGATGTAAAAGGCGCAATTCTACAACAGATAATTTAAAAAGAAACTTTAAATGGCACCTGATCACACCTATGCTGCTTTAGAGGTCCGTGTAAGCTTATCTTGGAGAAATTATGGATTATTTCCACTCAAATTACGTAATGAAAATTCCAAAATTTGGTGAAAAGACAATGTCACAAAGACGCAGTTAGATTTTATTTTAAAACGATCTTTATTCAGGAATATTTTGGGAACTACATATTTAATAATTTTAGTTGAAAATATTCTGTTTAAACTTATATGACCCTAATTTTGGTACGAAAGTTTGACATTTGGGTTAATTAACAAATTCTGCAAATCTTTTCTAGTAGAACAGCCGTTGTTCTACTACATAGAACCAAACCTAACCCGGAAGCCTAACAGAATGTTTAATTAATGCATCAATTAACAGTTGTCAACTGTTGTGACGTGTTCAATCAGTTTTCCAATATTTATATAAACGCCTAAATAAAATGAACAATAAAGAGTAATATACAGGTAAGGTGACTTGTTCAGGAGAATTAAGCCATCCATAATACTAAATTGTCTTATGTTCAATGTTCATCAGTTACTTTACATTTCATTTGTTTATCATTATATTTTTATGTATTTATCATTGTTCTGTGTGTCTTGACCACTACAATGTCTTAATGGATTTATAATATGTTAATGTTATAATTCATTTAAAAATAACAGCTTATATGAAGTTTTTATGAATTGTTTTATACTGTTTAACAGTTACACGCCTTGATCATGAACAAATGTGTGCTTGTGTTGGTGGCACTGGTGCTACTATCCGGAATGACAATGATCTGTGAAGGTAAAACAATTTTTGAACTATGGAAAGAGAAAACGATTATTCGAAGTAGGAATTATCTTTCCAGTTTTCAATATTAACATAATGTAAATTAAGCTGATTTACACAACTATGACCTTATCTGGGAAAATGATACTGCATTGAGAATTACTTAAAAGTGTCACTTCAAACCCATTATTCCATGTTGTGTGTTTCGCAGGAAATAGAGCTTGGAGATCATACTATAATCCATCATCTCGATCACGATTCCGAAGTAAGTAAAGGTCAATTTAATCAGATTAGTTTCATATAAAAATACCAAGTCTGTACTAAACAACACTGCCTTTTAAATTATATATTTTCATAAAGACTATATTAGCATTGAACATGTATGCATGGCAGTGTGCTATTAAAAGCCTGTGCTTCAGATTTCAGATTCAATCGATCTAGACAGTTCAGTAGATTTGGACCTCGTTCTCGATCTACAGGAGGATGGGCTAGTCAGTTTTCAAAGCGCCGTTGACTAAATAAGGTAGGTTAAAACCAGTTGAAATGATAGATTACTGAGTTACCATAATTTTACTCATTGATGATAAATGAAATGATGAAACGGAAAGATTATGAGAAGTGAAATACAAAAATGTGAACAAGGCATAGAACAAGGACCACTCAAAATCCCACTGATGGTGCCTAGAGGAGGGGGGGTTAAACATCCCCTGTCGACGGGATATTTGCGTCGTGACGCCTATATATGGTATGGTAGAAAAAAACATTCTATAGTCAAGAAAAGTAAAATTAATATAAATCCTATAAAAAACATGAAACACATCACGCAAAACACGTACCAATTTGCAAAAAAGGTCCTTAGAATCACCAAATGCTGATTTAATTAAAATGATGTTGAATTCCTAGTAACTTCAACTTTTCTGTCTGTAACCTGCATCAGTTTTAATTTGATTGCACACAGTGGATGTTATATAGGATAGTATAAATTGCAAGACTTAAATACTATGATGCTATGTATATGCAGGAAGAGATAATAGGGAATAACTGTTTAATTAAATAAAGCTGCCGATGGAGAAGCTTGTAGACATCGTTTTGTCGTAAAGTTTAATAAGTAGTTGGCCCTAAGGGTGTATAATCAATACCACATAAATATATGAAACAGTTTGGTATGTTGGGCTGATTTTTGTATGCGAGTATCTTGAAGAGTTACAGCAATCGGAAAATTACAGTAATACAGAACAAATTTGCATTCAGTTCTGCTTCGATGACTTTTGTTGGAATTATGGCTTTTTCTCTTTAATAAGATTTTTTGCATTTTTTTCCCTAAAAGCTTGCGGATATTGAGCTGATTTTTGGTATGTAAATTTTCAAAGATGATAATTATTAAGATCAAGTTTGCATTTCCTTATGGTTAAATCGTTAACTTTTGACGGAAACATGGAATTTTAACTTTCAACGGGTACCACATAGCACTTGCCGGTAGTATTGCTAATGTTATAATCTTCCGGAATGAATCCGCAAAATAACACTGAAGGATATAAAGTTCTCTTGTTTACTCACGTTCACTCACAACAGCCATAACATTGATTGTTGCAATGATGCAATTACTGTTTGTGTGAACTCATATAAATGTCCTTCATTTTTTGAGATATCATATAATATACAATTTTCCTCATTTTTTTCAGGTCCATCCCGATTGAAGGAAAGGTGTTTTTAATTGTTATCCATTTTTTTTTATTTTTGTAATAAAATGATTTTTTCTATCTTATGGTTATTAAGACAAAAGTACTTCATTATTGTGTCAGGAAAAGTATTTGAATTTGAAATTTCAAACTAGAGGTTATATCATTACTTTAAAATACAAGGTCATTTTGCATGTTCAAGGTCAGTAAAAATGAAACAAAATTATGTCATGTCCATAACCCCCCTATAAAGACACATCATAAATGTCATAGATTTAACTCAAAGATTACTTTATATTATTAGCTTTTTTTAACCGAGGTCATTTTGACAAATTGAAAATTAATTTTTAAGAATTTGAATAAGGGTTTTATTTAAAAAATATTGCAGCAGGGGTATATTTCTGTGTTTGCACACAGTACCTCAACGACAAATAAAACCTGAGGTTGATTATTCTAAATTATGTCATCGCGTGGGTATTTTGTTATTGTTCTACCTAATTTTATCTATAGTTCCTGCTTACCGATCATAACATATCACGACAATAATGATTACCAAAATTGTGAATGAAATGCCGGTATTCTAAAATTGCCATTCTTGCCACAAAACGGATTTTTAATTTTAATTCTTTTTAAAGAATCAGCATTTATCTAAGTTTGGATAAGAAGAAGGTATGGTTTCCATACAAATTTTGCCCTGTGATTTTCTAAAAAATGAAACTGGTGTAAAAGTTGAAAACTCAACCTTTTTATATAATTGAAATTCAATGGAGAAAAACCATACAAGTGAATTTTCTCACATGTGTTTTTAAATGCTAATTATGACGTCATAAACATTTGCATTTTCCCGTATTTTCTTAAAAAGTTGCAGAAGACATCAATTTTCAATGGAATTTTCTTTCAGATAACATTGTCCACAGGCATCGCCCACAAAGATCTTGAGATATGTGATTTGTTATTGATCTTTTGCACAAAATATCAAAAAATTTGCCGACGGCTGTGGACACTGTTTTCTAAAGGAAAATCACCCTTGAAATGTGCCATTTTGAGGCTTTTCTTTTGAAAATAGAGAAATGCTTCACATTAATGACGTCATATTTGCAAAATGGTAAACCTTCATGCCATATTCTTTCCTGATTTATCAAAGTTGTTTATTTAACTAATATTTTAGCCAGTTTTAAAACTTTTTGATGTCATTACATTTTTAGGGCACAATAAAGCTAAAACGATACCTTCTTCTTTATTACAGCGGTTTTCTTATCTACAATTTAGTAAATTGGTAATCTGTTGATATTGAATTAAGTATTAGCAGTCATAGTAGTCATTGTTGAACAGAATGATACGAGTTTTCGTGTAGCTAAGTCAAGAATTAAGGGAAAAAACTAGAATCATATAATGTTTTAATATTATCCGGTGACACAAGATGCCAGATTTGATGGCACTGTATATTGGTAGTTAAGATAGACGTAGGACAGGGCGTAGTACAGCTTAGAGTCCTTCTGGTAAATGTAATAACGGGCTTCCTGTTCTGTCTGACAATGGGTGTGTCCACATCTGTTAACAAATAAATAAATTATGTATGTATAAAGGAAAGATTAAAATACACCCATCACTGTTTTGACTACCTTGATACATACAACTTTTTAAAAACTTTCTTTTGAGTTACGTCTTTCTTGTTTAAGCAAATGCTTTAAATTTTAAACCAAGTATATACATTACACTCATTGTTAAAGTTTATTGCAGAACTGTAACTCTCCAAAAAATATATTAAAACACCGGAGACCTACAGTGCCACCCATTGAAAAAAATGTATATTTATTGCACACAAAAAAAATTGAGCTTGGTTCTTGATTAATACTTCCAAATTCTTACCTAAATTGCAAAAGCTAGATTTCGAAAAATTCCTTACTCGCCTATCAAGTACTCTGGTAGTTGACATCTGCACAAAGCGCGTTGGACCGAATTATCTTGCAAACCAAAATGACAGTATAAAACTATAAATAGAAGAAATTTTCGATAAACTCAATACCAGATCCAGGAGGGGTATTAACAACATTTATAAGGAATTTTTTGCTGTGGAAACAGTGAAAGAATATGTTACGAACACACATTTAGTAATATTTTGAGATGACAGTCTAGAAACAAGGAGAAATAAATCGAGAAACAGCGCACTTTTCTGTGCGCAATAAATATGCAGTTTTTTAAATGGGTGGCACTGTAGCTATCAGGTCTGTCAAAATATTTTTTTTCGGAGAGCCACAGTTCTGCAGGTATGAAAAAAAAACAATTCCATACACGTATTTTATGAAATATCGTTACTCATCTAGATTTAAGGTGTCCTTTCCGTAATTAACATGTTAAGAACCATAAAATCTTTATTATTGAATTTAATATTTAAACTTTATTTAATAAAACCGCTTAAAATGTGTGACCTTTCCTTTGTAAGTGTTCTTTAACATTTCAATTTTGACAAACTGTCGATAATGATCAATGTCGACTGTTTTTTTTATTTGTAGATTTTTAATAAACATTCTAAATGTGAAGGAGTGGTAAATTCATGATTCACATTGCTTTTACATGATCACATAAATTAAATACAAGTCAGATCTTCATAATATAATCAAAGGCATTTAGGTTCCAAATCTTGTTCGAATTAGATCGAAAGTTAGCTGCAGAATTGTAGCTCTCCGAAAAAAAAATATTTTGACAGACCAGAGAGCTATAGTGCCACTCATTGAAAAAACAGTATATTTATTGCGTATCAAAAATGATTGTGCATTTATTTCACCATGTTTTAAAACTGATATCAAATTTTACTAAATGTGTGTTCAATTTTACTGTTTCAACAACAAAAATTTCCTTATAAATGTTGCAAAAAGCCTGGCTAATATTGAGTTCTAAAATTTATTATTGCCATTTTGGTTTGCAAGCTAATTCGGTCCAACGCGCTTCGTGCAGATGTCAACTACCGGAGTACTTGATAGACGAGTAAGGAATTTTTTGAAATCTAGCTTTTTTGCAATTTACAAACTTAAGCGAGGGGTGATCAAAAAGAATTGTAACTTTCAAAACAATATTTGTTTCAATGTTTTATATTCTAAAGTATATTATTTAATGCACATCAACGCTTTGCGCATGCGCGAATCACGTGATAAAGGTGGAGAATTTCTCTCACAAAATAATTTTCCGAGTTTTATATTTTCCATGTGAGTTAATTTTTATGAAAAATTAATTTCTGAAATGGTAAATATAGGGACATTGACTTTCAAAAATAAGCATGGCGACCATTAAAACACAAATCTTCTGTCTCAGGAGAGACCTTTATTCAAGGTATGAGAATGGGTGCATCCTTTTTATCATATCTAATATGTTTAAAATCTAAAGTAAACGATATCTTAGGTATTTAGTACTTATATCATTGTTCAAATATTCAACTATTTTTCAAAGTGCTAATTGGAGGTCTTTGATAGCAAATTGCTTAATTAAAAATACATATCTTTTCACTTGCTTTCACTGGGCAAGATGACAAGTATCATTTTTAACCATCAGCCTTCCTTCACTAAAACGATTAATCAAATCATTAATTGAATTTATAGGAACTCATTTATCTCAATAAACTGTGTACAAATTATTATATGATACTGTTGAGGGATTTCTAAGATATTACAATAAATTGTACAGTCGTTTGGTGAACAGTTCCCTGAGACAACCATTTTTCGTCACAAGTGACCTTTATAGTGACGTCATTTTCACATTGTGACTTCACAAACAAGGAGAGAAACTTTTTCAGCATATGCTATTTATAGACCTTGTGTATGGCTATGTGTGTACCTAATATATTAATCTGAATTGTGGTTTTTGATATAGATAGTTTGAAACTTTTTGATCAATTTTTAACATAGCGAATTTTTTTTGCTCAATAAATATATATTTTTTACACCCTACGGTGTGTCAATATATTTTTTGAGATACATTTTTAAAAGGTAAGGAAAGTTAATATGTATTGCATATAACACAGAACCTTAACAACACTAAATTCTTTAATACATATGCCTTTATTATTTCATCGCGGACAAATAAACTAGAACATGATTTTGGAAACAGACTTTTTGTAAGATTTCTCATCTTAACATTATCAAGATTTTGTTATATATGCCTGGGAGCTACCATTTCCAGGCATTCATCATTGGAATCAGTGACAAAAATCATTTACACTAGTTTTGAGGATGATTCCATTTATATATCACTATATTCATAGCTTTGAAGATATATATATGAAAAAAAGATTTTAAAAGGTTTCCCTATATATCCCTATTGTAAAACAATATTTTTGTTGAATTTGGAGACCAGGTCTTCTGTGGAACAATCAGTTGGATTTCCTTATTTGCACCAGTTGTTAGCAGACCGATATTTGTATTCATATGAAGCAGAACTTACTCATAATGTTCAACAAAGATATTGTCAATCAGAAATTCAAGCGTCTTTTGATACAACTTATCAACTTCAGAGTATTTGTGTGTACAATCAGAATTTTAACTTTATCAAATTGATTTTGCAAATGAATTTACAAGTTCTTGAAATAGCATATGCAAAAAGCCCAGTAAAATTTCTTTGGAGAAGGATTTTTAAAGGCAAGATTTTTCTTCAAAAAATATAGCCCTGTCAATCAATGTAAGGACCATCATTGGATGCTGGAACTTGATTGACACTTACTGGTCACTGTGTATACCCTGTACACCTTGATTGGGACTCGCGGTGACCTTCTAATTAACTTTGGATCCTTTGATGTTTACTGAACGTGGTATACAGAAATTGAATTTTATATTGATAATAATGTATGAATTAAATATACCTTTAGTATTTGAAAGGATTGTAATAAAATATGCATTTTTTTAATATTAACCTTTAGCACATAAAACTTTTTGTTTCAAATGAAATGTCTATATTATTTTTGATACGCTATATGGTAAACCTAAAGTGAAAATGTTATTGATAAAGAAGAAGCACTGTGTGTTTTAAAAATAATGTTTCCAATATATATTCCTTTTTATTCAGATAAAAATTTACAAGCAACCCTTTTTTAGCATGTTTAACGGTGACAAAGTCTTATTAAGGTTAGGATAAACCTAGAAATTTTTTTTGGTTAGTGAAATGTAGTTACAGTGTAATACAACTCTCTTTTCATTTTATTAATAGATGGGATCCTGGGGATGAATGAATTAAGTCTAATTTGGTTGTTACAGCGTTTGTTTTTTTTAAATTAACACATACATTAAAACATCTGAAACAATCTTTGTTTTAATATTTGAATTTATAGTATGATAAAAAAATAATTTTTAAATGAGTACGGGTGTTTTCAAACAGTACTGTAAAAAATAAATCAATATATAATTGAAAACAACTTTTTGCTACTAATTTTAAATTGTCTCAAAATCCCCAACACAGGTCAAGTTTGACACCTGGGTATTTCACTGTGTATCAAATCACTTCCTGTGTATAACAAACTTGAATCTACAAGGCATTCACACCTGTACAAAATAAGCCCCTCCCTCACCTGGAATTTACCACCCGGTAAAAAATCTCTGCCTTTAAGCCCTTGAAATAATGTCAGTTTAAGACATGTTTGTTTTTACAAGTATATTATTTAGTAACGCTTTTCATCAATCTTAAAGGTGGAGAATTTCTCTAAAATAATTTTCCTGATTTTCCATGTAGGAAAAATTCATCTGATACTAAATATAGGGACATTGATTTTCATACAGGACGTTCGTAACCTCTGTGCCCATTCTATGACGTGCTCGTGCTGAAACAAGACTCACGTATTCATTCCTCCGGTGGATGTTGGATGTTTGTTTACCAAGGAACTTCCCCTGTGCCAGTACTCACGTTCATCAGACATAGCATAGGAGCTGGCAACAGGTTGTGGTAACCGTTATTATGGCCTCTGTAATTGAGAAGAATTTTATGAAAATGTGAAAAGTTTAAATTTGTATGCAAGATCAATACATGATCAATATATTTTATTGTTTTGAATAGGGTGAAAATTCGTAATTTTCAACATATTTTTAGCTCTGTTTATACACTCTACAACAACATCTTTGGATACATTTCAAATGGTATCAGGGGTATTTCATTGATAATGAAAAGAAAAATTCCAAAATAATGAACTTAAAATATATAAATGTATATTGTATATTTAATTTCTTTCTAAAGTGTTTATTTTACCTGACTCCTAATAGAAGATGGCAGGTTTTTGTGGATTGTGTGAGCAAATTCGTGAACTAGAATATTGTTGGTGTGAAAATATGGATCACGTGCATTACACAGAATATTATCCTCCAAAATACAACAGGTGTTTCCCCCAACTCCGGCCAGGGTGTTATATTTACGATGGTCAAAAGTACACGTCACTGAACAAGAACCAGCACAAGTGTCTGAAAGACAAACATACTGGTTGCTAACAACGTCGTACAACAGCAATACATATACAATTCTTTCACTGCAATTTATGAAGAACAAAAATATAATTTTAGTACAAAAATTCTGTGTGATAGATAATTTCGAAATATGTAAGTTAAGCAGTTGAAAAATTTCCCATTAGCTGCCGCCTTATGTGAGGTTACCATGACTTAGCTGATTTAAACAAGTTGTCACATGTGGTCATAATGGCTATTAAAGATTAGAAAATATTCATTTTATTCAGAATACCAGCTATGTGTTTTTAAAGTCTTCAGTAGGGAAATATATGGAGATAACGAACATAATTTAAGCACAAAATTAAACATTAAACAAAACATGGAGCAGAGCAAGCTAACATATCTAAAACATCTGAGGTGGGATCAAGTGCCATTGGGGAGTGAGCATCCCTGCCAACCGGTCACATCCGCTGTGTACTCATTAATATGAACGGGAAATAACGGATCATATACAAAAAATATCCTCATACGTATACTCCTATCCATTATGTTTTGTTTTAGTTAATCAAGGATACCCCCAGCATGATGGCAAAGATAATAGATTTAAAATATCTCATACAACATTTAGAACACATCGTATACGTCATTTAAGATTTATTGTTATCACGATAGACATTTTAGCAGGTTTTTCAATTTAGCTCTACATATATTATGTTATAAGAAACGGTATTCCTGAAAATATTCTTCAGTAGTTTTAATTTGATAAAATAATTAAGAAAAATGACGAAAATTAAATTATTCTTTAGAAGGCGGTTACCACAATTCATGAACAAAACCGTTAATAGATATATTCACTTTTGATATATTGAATAAAGAAAATGAACTTTCGCCTCATGCAGTTTTAATCAATTTTGATTTGAACTAAAAATCTGATAAAGAAACCAGTTAATTATGAGCACTTGTATTAATTCCGAAAGCTTTTCCCAGTAAGTAAGACATTTTATCATCTGATTCATCTGTTGACTTCAAACACTGCTTGCAACTTAAACAAATAAAAAAACCACCATGATCTAAGGAATTTAAAAAACTTACAGTGACCTTAGACAACTTACAGTGACGTTAGACAACTAACAGTGACATTAGACAACTTACAGTGACGTTAGACAACTAACATTATTATCCTTCAGAATTATACAGTGATTCTGATTCGTTTGACAGGTCACGTGCGGGGAGACTTCACGCGCAGGGTGACAACTGTTATCTCCCTTCAGATGACATGTAGGGTTACAACTGTGTTGTCGCCCTTTGAATGCGACTACAGTGATTTAAGCGCGATAACTCTTATTTATAAGTACAATTAATAAATATGCGGGATCGGTAAACAATAAATTCTTACGATGACGTCAAGGTTGTCTGTTGACATATTTTGAAATTATGGAATCAGAGCAGAGAGGAAGAAAACAAGAGGTTTGATTACTATTTTCTAACAGTGACATTAGACAACTTACTTTGACGTGACCTCAGATTACTTACAGTGATCTTAGACAACTAACAGTGACCTTAGACAACTTACAGTGACGAGACCTTAGATTACTTACTGTAGCATTGAGGCGTGTCCCTCTCAGCAGCGTATTCTGGGAAAATAGTAATATCCTGACCATGGGCAAAGACTGCGATCTTGGCATTCCGAGCCACAGCACTGAAAATGGAGGAGGGCATGTGTTTGGTCATCCTGGCCGCGATCAAAGCCGCCTTAAACAGTGATTAAAAACAATCAAGTGAAATCATTATTTCTGTTACCGTATATTTGATATTTTATATCTAGATTATGAAATAGGAAAATCAATGTAAAATTGGAACTTTGTTCGACAAGGAGACAAATATGTTAACTCTATCTTTGTTTAAATTTGGCTACAATCTTATAGGCTGCTATATTGGATGAAGTTTGGACTTCATCAAGCCGATTTTGTCCACCCTTTGCTTTTGAAAATTCGTATGGACAAGAACAAAAGTTTGAGTATTTGTTTAGATATGGCATGCATATGAAGCAAATACGAATGGAAGATGTCTATCACACCTTAAAAGTATCTCGGCCGTATGAAAAAAATGAAAACATCTGAATTTTTCAATATGTCTTTAAACTCTTAAATCGCACCATACTTTAAACATCTTAGGGAGTATCTAAAACAACTTTCGCGAAATTATTGTATGAAGCCATATTTTACAAGCTCTTTGCTCAAACAGAATCAAAACGAGGTCGAGGAATTATGACAAGTTATATTCCATTTTTCATTGGCATTGCCCCTAGAGGGTCATTCTCAGTTCCTCCAATAGTTTTATCTAAAATTATAGAAAGGACTCCGAAAATATATGGATTGCATTTAAATCATAATACCAGGTAGTGTCCCCTTTCGCTGACGGCTGTAGTGGCCTCCACTGCCAACCACTCACCGCTATACCGGGTGTTCTGTATGTTCCCATTGGCGCCCACATACTTGTGCTTCAGAGCCACACGTTTGCCATGATAATATGAAGTGTTATTTCTCGATAAGGATAATACTTTCAATCTAAAAAGTAGAAATTGCAATAAAAAAGCGATGATAGAGAAAAACAATGATCGTATGTATACGTTCTCAGAAAATTACCCATGCTGCTTCACCAGTTCCTCTTGTTCTGGAGTCAATGGAGGCAGGGCGCACACAGCTAAAACACATTCGCTTGTTATTCAAACCAAAATTTTTAAAAAAAAATCATCATTGTTATTATCATATTTCAATATTAAAGAATAGATCATTTAATACCATAAACGCACAGAAGCCCAAAGACGATGCGTTTCATTGCAGAGGAATGGCTGAATACTTTCTAAAGTATCTTGGGCTCTTTCTCTAAAGGTTAATATATATGATAAGGGAAATATAGGACATTTCGGTATATGACTGGATATATCCAAAGGTTAATATTGAAGTTTATACAAAAATATATAAATGATGTTCTTGTTCATCCCCCCGTGCTGCAGGGGGGTCTGCTTGACAAATAAATTGGGTACAGGTTGCATTGTGCTTCGAAATACAAGTCGCAATAAGACTTTTTTATCAGAGTAGAGCTTAGGTGCTTCAAAATATTTTTGCATGACACATATATGTTTTTAACCCTAAGAAATCATAAATGTTTAAAGTCAAACATGCTGACATTGACTACATTTTAATGAAATAACATAAAAACGTTAACTGTCAGCACTTTTACAGTGATGTGATTAAGAGTGAGTTTATTTTCCCTGTGATATCTACGTACATTACTTCTTTGAGAGATGATGACCGATTGTGACTTAATTTTCATTCACAAATAACAGTGAAAAGTAGGTTACATGCACAAGGCCCTCCTCTTTTAAGGTCAATCTTTATCTCGCAGAACAATCTTCTTGCTCAGAGTAAAAGACCCAGTGGGTGATCTTGTTCAGATAAAGAACTATTGTTAATATTAAAAAAGTGTCCTTACGAAGGGGCTCCTGTCCGACGTTTGATTATATGAAATATTCAAAGAAGAATCAATGAAAGTCAAATAGGAAGAATGAATTCAGTTAATTATTAATTATCAAAGATTGTACGAAAATATTTTACGTGACTGAAATATGAACTAAAGTTTCAAGTTAAAATGATTGAAAATAGTGGTATTTTATTCCATATGACTCGGAAAATGGTAACGATATTAACCATACCTTGCTTTAAAACAAAACTGTCAAATGCCATTCCTTAGTGCTATTTTCTTTTTACATCTGTGATAATTTCAGTACATTTCACAGAAGTAGACTAAATGGGGAAAAAATCCCAAAATCAGTTTCGAATGTCCAATTTTTTTTAAAAATTCCCCTCATCGACTGGAATATTTTGTTCCAGAAATGAACTTTTTATCTGCTCAATTAATAAGAGACAAAACATATAGACCAATTCATGAGACAAAACATATAGACAGGCAATTAATCTAAAATTTTGTTTGAAAACATCTGCTTAGAAATATCAATGCATTGAAAATGATATTCAGATTCAAGACGTATGTATACTGTATAACTGCATAATGCATGTAATTGTTTTCATTTATGCATTATGTTTTAAGGTTAATATTTTAACTCGATAGAACAATTTCTCTTGAATCAATATGAAAAACTCTAGAAGTATGAGTAGTGAGGATAAGTCCTCATTATTACTTGTATCAGCTTCGACATGACATCAAGTTATTTTGCAATATTCATACATACAAAGTGCATTTTAAAATCACAATAATGTAATTTTGGTTGTAACGCTGTATTTGATTGGATAAAAAATTATTTCATATCGTATAAAATGGGTTGATAACTTTAACTTTTCAAAAACGTAAACGTCCCCTGACGTTACGTTCAAATTTTGTACCTGAATTCACTTTGTACAGGGTTAATATCTCTTTGATTCACATCAAATGAATGAAAATTAAATCAACAGTTAATAAAACGATTACACTGTAAATTAAAGAAACTAGAATATAAGTAATCTCGTTTAAGTCATCATTTCGTACGTTCTATGGTCAATATAATGACCTTTTCAGCAAATACAATTCATCATTGAGTCAAATGCTGTCTGACTTTTTGAAAAAAATATATATTGATAGACTGAATTGTCGACAGATTGAAAAAACCTTTATATTTATGACAAGGAGCAACGGCGGGTTTTCGACCTTTATTTCTCCATGTTCCTAAAACTGTAATCTCAAAATATTACTAACCGTGTGTTCCTCTAATTTTTATTGATTACAACAAAACATTTGTCATAATTGTTGTTAACTCCATATACCCTGATATTGTAATTATCGAACATTTCGCTTATTTATGCTGCCATTTTGTAAGATAACCCTTCCAATATGGTTCAGATTTGTCAACAAAGTTAAATTTACATTTAAAAAAAGAGAGAATTTTTTTTTGTAAATACATTATTATCTTTTTGAGGTAAGAATTCATAAAAATATTTTTGGAAGACAACATTAAATTTTAAATCATTATTATTTTTCTCCTTTCTCTCGGTCTATCAATATATATTTCTTTATTCATTTGCACACATTAAATTCATTCCTTAAGAAAAATGTTTCTAAACGTAATTGGATGCAACAAGGAAGTTTTTATGATCGAAAACGTTGATTTTTTTAACTAGGAGGGTATATAATTGGGATGTCAACACATTAGCCTTAAATAAGCTGTCCGTTACACTTTGGGGTACCCATCTTTTGCAAGTATATATATTATACCCCTCACATGAAAAGTAGGAGGGTATATAGTGATTGGGATGTCCTCCGTCCGTCTGTACGTCCGTTCGTTACGCTTTGGGGTACCCATCTCTTATCAGCAACTCCTCTTATACCACAGAATGAAATTTAATGAGACTTTCTCTGATTCTTTGTTACAAAAGAGTTTCGTTTACAGTCATCATTTCATAAATCTTTGGTAGATACAATGACCTTGTGAGCAAATACAATTTATCATTGGGTCAAATGCTGACTGAGGTTTTTCAGACTAATTGTTAGTTCATTATTTATACACTGAATTGACGGATTTTTCCGTTATTTCCCGATCATGACAAAGAGCACACGGCGGGTGTGATTGGTCAGTAGGGGATGCTCACTCTGTACAAGGTACTTGATCCCACCTCCGATGTTTTAGAGGTCCGTATTTGCTCTGCTCCTATTTTGTATTGTTTTATGGACTTTGATATTGAATACTGTTCGTTATCTCCATATCCTTCATTTACTGTGCACCTCCTTTTCATTTTTCATTGAAAACATTTCTCGGGTTTCCCATAGCAAAACATTGACACTGCCATTTTTTTTTCTATAATGTTGAAGGGTACCTTTCTCTTATCCGCAACTCCTCCTTTTCCTCTGAATAAAATTTAATGATACATTTACAGATTGTGCACCTCCTATTTTACTTTTAGAACCTGTTTCAAATACCAGGACCCTTAATTTCTATTGCTAGTATACTTAACCTATCTAAACCTTTAAAAAATGCAGAATACGACATAAGTACATGTATACATATAATACCCTAGTCAAAACTTAATAATTAATTTATCATATATAAAACATAACATGAAACATAAGATCAGAATGTTTGTTAAGGTTTAAACATTTTTATTGTCACCCCGTGATACAAGTGGCCAAATAAGACGGCACTGAATACTGGTAGTTGAGGAAGACGTAGGACAAGGCGTAGTAAAGTTTGGAGTCTCTCTGATAAATGTAATAACGGGCTTCCTGTTCTGTCTGACAACGAGTGTGTCCACATCTGTTACCATATAAAAGATAAATAATAAATATTACATGTATAACTCCATGTACCTGATCTTTTATGAGATCCGTTAATAATCTGTCGTTCTCTCCTGAACTGTACCATTTCAATTAAAATGCCAAGACAATACCTACCGGTAATAAGATTACTACATTCATAAAACAACAAACTTTTTACTTTCTCTTAATTCAAAAAAAATAAAAGTTTGGGTACCCATGTCTTATCCGCAACTCCTCTTATAAAACTGAATTAATTCTAATGAGATTTTCACAGAATCCATGTAACTTATAGCTACTCGTATTGTGCAGCTTCTATTTTATGTTTTGATCTGACACTTATTTCTTGTCTCTCAGAACAAAACGTGGACTTTGCCACTATAATGGTATGGGAGGTTGGGAGGTCTCATTTAGTGAGCTCAGCGCTCATAGTACCCATAGCTTAAATGCTGACTAACGTTTTTTTTTCATACAAATTGTTAGTCCATTATTTACAAACTGATTTATCGACGGATTTTTTCGTTATTTCCCGGTAGGTAAAGATAAGGAGCACTAGCGGGTATGACCGGTCGGCAGTGGATGCTTACTCCTCCATGGCACCTGATCCCACCTTTAATGTTTTAGAGATCCGTGTTCGCTTTTCTCCTGATTTGTATTGTTTAATGGAATTTTTAAGTCCGCTCGAATAGTGTTCGTTATCTTCATAAGATATCACACCAAATATCTCGGGATCGTTATAAAGGAATGGATCGCACTGAAAACATTAGTTTGCCATCATCTTTTGTTCTTTTAATGGTCTTATTTCTTGAAAGTCACGCGGCAATTAATTGAATAACCTGTTACTGTCCAATGATGTAAAAAAAATCCGTTATTTAAAACAATGGACAGTATTTCATCACATATTAGAAGGCTACATGTAAGTCTTTGAAATAAGAAAACAAAACAAATGGACAAAAATATTTTTAAGGAAAGAATCCAATACATGTGTGTATGTTTCTCATTGTAATGAAACATACATTCCGGCCACAGAAACAAAAACTGAATATTTATTCATTTTTTAATTAATGATGAAAGGAATATTCCAACTCACAATGATTATTGTGACCATTTATTTTCTTATCATTTCAAAAACAAACACACACACCCTCTCTACACCCTCACACACGCACACCCACACACACACACACACACACACACGGTAGGTGTCACCGTTCGACTACCCTCCTCCCCCAATGGTACCCGGTTCATCCACTGATGTTTAAGAAGGCAGTGATTGATCTGTTTTTGATTAATTTATATTCTTTGAAGTCGCCAGCGTGGTACAGTGGTTAGAGAGCCTGCTCTTAGTCGCGAAGTAAGGAGTTGGTCCTTACATCGCGGTTAAGAAAAATAGTTGAACTAGTAGTAGCTCCTTTAGAGGCCCTTTTATAATTTTCAAAGAAAATGTTTGAGGCTTTGGAAGTCATACATGTATTTTCTTCAGTTTATATATAAAACTCTGCCCGGTAAAGTTGCTATAACACGAAGTACTAGAATTTGTAATTAAATTCCACGTTTTCAGTCATCAGAAGTGCATTACATGTATTCTACAGTTGAAAAATCATGAACTTGTAGCTCCTTTAAAAGACCCTATTATAATTTTCAAAGAAAATGTTTGAGGCTTTAAATAAATCTTCTTTTCAGTGGAATATGAATGATTTCAAAAATGAAATTATAAAAAACAAGATCTTTAATAAAATTCCATAATTTTGCATTAGCAATTTATATGTAGTTGGAATCATCAGTTTTTGGAAGACAGTTCCCTAAAAATTCAATAAATCTTGTGTTCATGGAATATGCTTGATATGTTTTGGTTTGAACATATTTTATTATGTAATAAGTACATAAATGGATTGGGCAGCGGACATAGCCTATATAAGCCCTCTCCAGCCCTCGCCCTAAAATGTGGCGGTTCCTCATCAGTACTTACGTGTTCATTCCTCCGGTAGCCGTTGGATGTTTGTCCACCATGAAGAATGACCCTGCCCCCTCAGCCCAGTACTCACGTTCATCAGACATGGCGTAGGAGCTGGCAGTCCAGAGACTGTGATAACGGGCGTTATTATAGGCCGCCGTAATCTGAGGAAAAATCATAAATTATAACGATAGGACTGTTAAAATTAATAACAGATTTCTAATCTGCTATATAATTAAATATGGTTTTGTTAAGCTCAACACTGAATTACTCGGCACTTTTAATTACTTTATCAGGACGAAAAAACTTTAAAAACTCCGATAATATTTACTACAACCTTGTAAATTGAAAAATTTCAACAAATCAACTACAGGAATGAAAGCTCGCCATATAGTGGTAAAATTGTGCAACACCTAGGTGTCTTTTAGGAAGCCGTCAAAATTACGAAAAAAGTCATTCTGAAGTCTTACCTGACTCCTTATAGATGTTGGCAGGTGTTTGTGGACTGTGTGCGCAAACTCGTGAACTAGGACGTTGTAAGTGTGGCGATAAGGATCATAAGCATCGCACAAAAGGTTATCCTCCAGGACACTGCAGGTCTTTCCTCCCACTCCGGCCAGGGTAGTGTACTTACGACCATCAACCGTGCATGTCGAGTAGCAGGAACCAGCACATGTATCTAAAATTATTGAACTTAGACAATAAGTAAGCATTTCTTTACGATATACTAGTATCTTTTCGCATTACCTACATGTAAGATTCTGAACTATTCATCTTTTATTCTATCATTTTCGTTCATTAGTCGTCTTTCTGCTTCCTGAAATCGAATAGTTGAAAATAAACCAATGTGCCTGACAACGGATACTCTTTATAGTAACTAGGTATTACACGGAAAACTGAAAAAAAACGAGCTTTGCACTCAAACTGAAATAGGTGGAGCTACAGTATTAACTGTAGTTCTCGATATCGCCTAGTTATACCCGTAATCAAGAAATCTGAGAATATGTTTTTAACTATATAAATTCCTAATATCACACCAATATGGATGTAATATTGCCGATTCGGCGTAAATCAATCATCAATCAATCAATCCTAATATAGACAAGACACACAAAATGTACTTTCAACGAAACCGATATACTTATAGTATGAAGTTTTCTGGTGTCAGAGACTGTATATGTGACGTTACTTTAATAAAAACTATTAAACAATTATTTCATGTTCCTGTGTTTGTTGATTTAACTCCGGCCCTCGACAAATCAGCTTTGAGAAGATGGCCAATTAACAAGGACATTGCTTAACTCCAAGAGAATCAGCTTGCATATTTTGTCGGAAGCAGTTAAAGGACACAAAGGTAAGAAAAAATAAATAAATTGATGTTTTCAAACTTCAGCACAGTAACTGCAAAATGAGTTGTAATCTCAAATTGGCGCTACATACGTCCGCGCTGTATTCTGCATGTTCATTACTGATTTCTTAGCGATATTAATGCATTAGCTCATCCTTGTCCGCGACATAACTGCTATAAATGACCCCCACATTTTAAAGATCAATTACTTACTACGACACCAACTGGTGTCCCTCTCAGCGACAAACTCAGGGAAGATAGTTGTATCCTGACCATGAGCAAACACAGAGATCTTTGCGTATCTGGCTAGTGTGCTGAAGATAGAAGTGGGCATATGTTTGGTCATCCTAGCCGCGACCAGCGCCGCCTAGAAATACAGATGTAAGGTAAGAGTACAGACAATTCAGTCCAGTATTCTGTCCACTCTTTTAAAATTGCATCAACTTTGTTTTCTGGTGTTGTTTAAAGATATCAGCAATCTCGGTTAAAGTCAATCATTTTTCAAGTTCTTTCTTCTGTGGTTTGCAATGATTTGCATATTCTCATTTTTATCAACAAGTTCATTTTTTAAATGTCGTCTGAGTTTGAGTTCCTCCTTTAAAAAGTCATTTCCGCAATAATTAGTCATTTACACGATAAGTGTTATTTTGAACAATTGGAATATGTGCTCGTTATGAAGCATTATGTGTTATGTAGTAAGGCTAGCTGTATAATTTTATTATAAATATAACCAACACAAAACGTGATATTTGATCATTACTAGGTAGTGTCCCCTATCACTGACGGCCGAGGTAGCCTCCACAGTCAACCAATCCCCTCCATAGCGCGTGTTCTGAACGTTACCATTGGCCCCAACGTATTTATACTTCAGAGCCAAACGTTTGCCATGATGATTTGTTGTATTATTTCCCGATAAGGATAAGACTTTAATTCTGTAAATAAAATAAAGAAACGAACAGTATTCAAGCTCAAAGTCCATTTAAGCAAAGTAAATCGGAGCAAAGCATAATCGGACCTCCAAAAAAAATCAGAGGTTGGATCAGGTGTCATACAGGAGTGATCATCCCTTGTCGATTGGTCACATTCGCTGTGAGCCCCTTGTCATGATCAGGACAAACTTAAGGAAAAAAATCCACAGACAATTCAGTGTGTAAAGAATTGTCGAACATAAGTTTGAAAACATCAGTCAGCATTTGACTTACTGAACGGCGGTATTTACTGAAATTGTAACGAACATACCAGTTAAATTTGGAAAATGATTAATTTAAACCATACTTTTGATATTCATCAAGATGTTCTTCAATAACTATCCCTTTAGAAAAAAATCATACGTAAAGCATGCTCTTGCGTATCAACTGAGAGACTCCATATACAGGTAATAAGGTATACAGTATTGCTACATAAGGTAAGGTAAGTTGACCAACGCAAACAGGAATTTTAATTAACTCCATATGCAGGTAATAAGGTATACGAGTATTGCTACAAAAGGTAAGGTAAGTTGACCAAGGCAAATAGGAATTTTAATTTATTTATATTTCGAATGCCCAAGAATAAGACAAATGTTGGTCTAAAATATTATATTAGTTCAAATCATGGCAAGCCCTTTTACTTTTTATTCGTGAAATAAAAATTTTCTTTCAATAAGAGAAATATCTCTCTAGCATAGAGAGATATCTCTTTTGCTTATAGAGATATCTCTTTGACTAATAGAAATATCTTTATACCTTAGAGAGAAATCTCTTTAAACAAAAGAGACATGTTTTTTACTTAGAGAGATATCTCTTTTACTTAAAGAGATATCTTTATAAGCTAGAGAGATATCTCTTTAAGCGAGAGAGATATCTCCTAAAGTTAGAGAGATTAACAAAGTTAGAGGAGATATCTTTCCTAGTTAGAGAGATATCTCTTTAGATTTTCAAAAAGAGATATCTTTCTAAGCTAAAGAGATATCTCGTTAAATGAAAGAGATATCTCTTTTCCAGTCATCCTTAAAATAAAATAATTTTAAAACGAAACAGGAAGTAAAGTCTCTGAAATAATTTCGCTGTTATAAGAAAAAAGACTTCGAGGAGCATGCAATACCCAGAATAATATATGTACTATGTAGACAAAAATGCTATAAATCCTTTGTTTGAAACAACAAACAATAATATCATGAATTTGTCGAAGTTTTAACTTCCGGTAAAGGGAGAAGTCATTTCAAATGGAATCTAAATAAAAATTATGAAGAGAGTTATCTCTTTGCAATAAAGAGATATCTCTGTTTGCTTAAAGGATATCTCTTTTAGACACTTTAGAAAGATATCTCTTTCACTTTGAGAGATATCTCTTTAGATAAACTAAGAGAGATATCTCTTTCACTTTAAGAGATATCTCTTTAACTTCGAGAGATATCTTCAAAAGTAAAAGAGATATCTTTCTAGGTGAAAGAGATATCTCTTTCTCACTGAGAGATATCTCTTTTCACAAAAAAGATATCTCTCAGGGAGAAAGAGATATCTCTTTCACCTAGAGAGATATCTCTCTTATAAAAAGAGAAATCTCTCTAAGTATAAGAGATATCTCTCTAAGTTTAAGAGACATCTCTTTCTTATGGAGATATCTCTTAAAAATGAGAGATATCTCTTTAAGTTGGGAGATATCTCTATTTTTAAAGAGATATCTCTCTAAAATGAGAGATATCTCTGTAATTTTAAGATAAATTTTATTTTCCGAATAAATATCAAAAGGGCTTGCCAAATCAAACAAATAAAACAAATAAATTTTATTTTATATGAAAAAATATATTATTTTAGCTCAAACAAATAAAAATAATTACGGTTAACATTTTTGCCACCTAGCAAACAGTCGGAAAGGGCAAACCTACGAGATAACCATGTCTTTTATCTACCATACGGGGACTTCAGTGTTTCACAGACACAACTTGGTACTAAATTTAATCTCCCTATGATATTTCAATGTATTGAATTTCCACTTGCATGACTATAAATCATACGGTATTTAGCTATGGCTACCACTAAATGTATCCCAATTTCGTAAGAAAAAGTATGCAACGTTTTCTTGAGTAGGTGACCAGTAAATAAAAGTTTTTAACCTACAAACCTCATGCATGCAATTAATTGCTCTATCTGTTACCAAGGCAAACAAGAATAGTAATTAATTTCTGTTTTGCATGAACAAGAACAATATAATGTGTCACTGCCTATCAAAATGATTTAAAGAATCAAAGATTGTCAATTGCTGATTATTAAGAATCTTTTTGACTTACCCATGATGCCTTACTAGTTCTTCCTGTTCCTGTGTCAGTGGGGGCAGTCCATGTATTACTAGGAAACCATAGATATTGTTTTAACAAAAATCTGTTTCACTGCATGAGTTATAAAAGTTATAATGGATTTGAACTCACCATAAAAACAGAGTAACACAAGAAAGATACGACTCATTGTTTTATCAACTGAAGTAAAAGTAAGGGAATAGTAAATTGAGCTTTTATCAATATTTTTGATAAGGCAGTTCATATCCTTTGATCTTTTGTCTGACAAAAGTACAGAGTTTTACAAAACGACTGTTAAAATGAGTAACCTGAAAACTATTTACAATGCGTGAAAGGTACATCAATGCAAAAAAAATGAATAAATCAAAATCTTTTAAGCCCTCGTTGTCTTGTCTAGTATATCAATATGTGGATTTATTTAGTTGATTATGATTTTATTTCAAAAACAAAACATATGTTGTTTCATAGTTGGGAGACGTCTATCCTAATACTTTTGTTTAGTTTGATTTAAGTGACAGGCTCCATCTCAATTTTCAATAAAAATGTAAATATAACTAGATGAGATCTCGTTGCGAGCAACGAGTAGGTCTTCCGTACGATTTTTCGATAAGATGAGATATGATTTTGACTATGATCTTTGTTACAAAATAATGATATCAAGACTTCTCTCACTTGATTAAATTCTTTTGATTTATTATCAAATACTTAAAGATGAAAGTGATTTGGCCCCTCTCGGCCCCTAATTTGAGGGACCAGACCCTTTTCTTGATTTCAAATGAAAGGTCTCGTGATTTTAAACACTTTTTGTTCAAGACCTATTCACAGATGTCTTTTCGTTAAAGAGATATCTTGTATGAAAATATTTAGGGGCCATCAATCCAAGTCCTTAATGGGGCCATTTTACAATAATTCAAACGGTGCATATTGTTTGAAACATTATTCTGACCATCCTTTGTTCAACATTGCTTATATCAAAATATTTCTCCTATTCGAGATATAAACCGACAAACACTTCATATTCTGGCCCCTTTTGACCCCTAAATTCGTAATATATGATTAAATTTTATACGATGTTGCAATTCGTTAAGATGAATACCTTTTAATCAGTATTGTTTTACAAAATATAGATCATTAAAGAGTTAAAGATGAAAGACTTTTGGCCCCTCTGAGCCCCTATTTTGAAGAGTCAGCCCCTATTTCTTGATATCACATGAAAGGGCTTTTAAAAACGCTTATTCACAGATTTTTTTCCGTTGTGGAGATATGCTGAATGGAAATATTTAGGGGCTCCCCCTACACGTCCTTAATGGGGCCATTTTAAAAAAAATTCACAGTATGCATATTGTTAAGAACATTCTGACCATCTTTTGTTCAATATTCCTTATCAAAATATCCCCCCCCCTTTTTGAGATATAAAGCGTCAAAGATTTGACATTCTGGCCCCTTGTGACCCCTAATGACGTAACATATTATCTCAATTTTATAATATATTGTTGCAAATCGTTAAGATGAATATCTTTGCTTCAGTAATGTATAACAAAATATTGATCATAATAGAGTTATAGATGAAAGACTTTTGGCCCCTCTGAGCCCTTAATTTTAGGGGTCGGCCCCTTTTTCTTGATATCAAACGAAAGGTCTTGTCATTTCAAAGATTTTTTGTTCAACACTTATTCAGAGATTTCTTTTCGTGTTGGAGATATGCTGAATGGAGATATTTAGGGGCCATCGCTCCAAGTCCTTAATGGGGCCGTTTTACAAAAATTCAAAGTATGCATATTGTGTAGAACATTATTTTGATCATCTTTTGTTCAATATTGCTTATCAAAATATTCCCCCTTTTTGAGATATAAAGCGTCAAAGATTTGACATTCTGGCCCCTTGTGACCCCTAATTACGTAGAATATGATCAAAATTTTATAATATATTGTAGCAAATTGTTACGATAAATATCTTTGCTTCTGTAATGTATAACAAAATATTGATCAATAAAGAGATATAAATGAAAAAGTTTTGGCCCTTCTGAGCCCCTAATTTGAGGGGTCAGCCCCTTTTTCTTGATTTCATATGAAAGGTCCCGTAAATCTGTACAACTTTTCTTCTATAAATTTTAACAAATTATGAATAGATACGAAGATATAAAACAAAAGATGTCAAATTTTGTGAGATGTTTCCGAGACATTTTTTGGGCTCCACCAAGCTTCGGCGCCTTTTGCGCTATGAAGATTTGAACACCTGCCTGCAACTCAGCAAACCTTCCCTTACTTTCACTGACAATCTTGAGTCAATATTTTAAGTCGTTCCGGAGGAGTTTCCAGGACAAGCCGACCCTCTAAAAATCAGAAAATCGTCCATATCTCACGACCGGAAGTGACGTCATCGACGACTAAAATTTCCGACAAGGTTCAGATAAATATCTATCAGATCTGAAAGTTTGGTGAAAATCGGTCGAGCCATTTCCGAGAACTCGCGTGCACAAAATCGGGAAGAAAAAAAAGAATAATAATAGGGAAAAAGAAACCGAACGAAAACAAGAAGGTCTTCCGTTGGAAACGGAAGACCTTAATTATGGCTTTAACGAAAATATTGGTCTGTATAATTTTTTTTGGTTATCTCAGATCGTTCATGATATCCTAAAATTGTACTGTTTTATAAGCATGTGTATCAATTTCGATGATCATATTGAGGAACAGTTCATTTTCTGTAGTTTATGGTATTTCTTTCATGATTTTTCATTTGTTTAGTCTTACACTGATTTGTTTTGAAGTTTTATTAAAAAATATAACAATCTCTCTTTATTTTAAGGACAAGTGATACAAACAAAAGAATGGATGCCTGGATTGGTATATATTTTTTTTTGCCTAATTTCGTTGCAAAAGATGCAAATAATCAATTTCTTGAATATAAAGAAATTGTAAACCTTCTGTGATGCTCAGAAGTCTGTCCTTCTGAAACCATCCTTATTAATCTATACAAATCAGATTCCATTTTTGTGCAAATTTGAATAAAAAATTAAAAACTACGCGGTGAAAGTTATTCATTTTACTAATTTAAACATGACCCAAGTTGTTATTTTTAAATTCTTTGACGAAAGTTTGTTTGCATCATCTGTCCTTAAATTTTATTTTTCTATGGAATATTCTACAATTGGTAATCCAAATATTATTTATATCTCTCTTTCTAAGGGGAGAATTCTTCAAAATTATATGTCAATTTTGAATATTTTTGATATTCCCAGCAACCAAAATGAATTGAATTACCATATCTCAATTGGATTCTGAAACTTCATAAAATCCCTTACAAAGTAAGGTTCCAGTAAATGTTATCACAAGCCCATTTTCTTTGCTCCTTACTAAGATATTTACAGTTGTGAAGGAGAAACTTCAAGAGCATTGTGCAACAATTTATTCGACAAGTGGTTTAAATCAGACGTGGATACTAAAAGGTTCTAGGATCTTTTGGAAAATTTGAAATCACAAGATTTTACCAAAATCAACAGTTTAAAAACTTACGACTTTTAAATTAAAGTCTAGGTTTTCTGGCATCAATGACAGCTGCTTTTTCAATAGAAATGTAACTCGTAAATTTACTTACCTTGTCATGGATCATTTGCAAAAAAACTTCGTTAAGACATTCTGATATTACACACAAATACTCTGAAGTTGATATTAAGAAGATACCCGAGTTTCTGATTGACAATATCTGTGTGGTTTTTTGAGACCATGTCTTCCTGATTGGAATTCACATGGGTAACAATTGCAAATCTTTATTAATAGACCTATTTTTGTATCGATATGAAATAGAATTTTAGAATCTTCTACCTAAAAAGACGAAAACACTTGCTGTGGCCTTCAGCTCGTCCTTAAGATACATCGACGACATATTGTCAATAAACAATCGTTATTTACATTCTTATGTCAATACGAAATACTGTAAAACGAGAAAATTTGATGTAGCGCAAAAAAATTGGCGCAAATAAATTTTAGCGCTTGCACTTGTCAGTAAAATATATTAATGTGACTTTTTTTTATCCGCAATATTTGTATCAGTAAACATTCGTTACCTTTATCGCGGTACGTGTTGCTATCACATGGACGTGGTACAATGTTAAAACTTATTGTATTTCTACTTTCAATTGCAAATCGTTAAATCACATTAAAACAATACATGCATCGACAGAAAATTTTCAGGTATTGTCTGCAATGCCATGCTTGATTGCATTGTTTAATAAGATTTCAGAAGCCAAACTTTGAAGGTGCTAATGATAATAATCGGGTAACAACTAAAATTATAATTTGGACTTCCGAACTGAAGTGCCTTCAATGACTCTTCGACATTACGATCGCGCGTTCCGTCTTACATGTACATGTATTTATGTAAAAGCTTTAAACACACAAAAATAATATTTAGAAATCCTTTAGCGCACAATAAAAAGCGTTATTTCCAAAGGCGCTATTATGCCAAATACGTTTTAAAATATCCCGGTAAGCTTGAAATAAAAAAAAATACCACAGAGTCGGTTCCATCTGCTTCATATTTGGATATCTTACTTGAAAAAACTATAAACGGTAATCTAACAACAAAGGTTGATGATAAACGTAATGACTTTAACTTTTCAATCGTCAACTTCCCTTACTTATGCAGCTCTATACGTTCATCAACTGCATTCGAAGTTTATATCTCTACGCTAGAACATGTTCTACGTATATATAATTTCTAAAACGAGGTAAATTATTGACTAACAAGTTGATGAAATAAAAAACAAGTTGATGAAATAAAAATATCCAAATAAAATTTATTATTAAGTCAAATGCTAACTGACGTTTTTCTTACTTATTGTAAGGCCATCATCAACACACTGAATTGTGGACGGATTTTTCCTTTTTTATCATGACAAGGAGCACACGGCGGGTTTGACCGGTCGGCAGGAGATACTCACTTCTCCAAGGCACCGGAATCCACCTCTTTCCTTTATTATTTGGAAGTCCGTGTTTGCTTTGCTCTTGTTTTGTAAGGTTTAATGAACTTTTGACCTCGAAAACTATTCATTATCTCCACATATTTCACATTTGTACATCATAAAAGTATTTAACATATTACATTTTTAAAATTATCCAAGGTAGTTTAAATAAGCCTTTAATACCAATGTTTATAGGCATGATATGAAATAAGACATGATTTATGGTGTTTTGCCATGAAAGGAAAGGT